TCCCCAGTACCGTAGCAGGGTGCTTGGAATCACAGCTGCTGAGTGTCTAAGGGGGAAGGGAACATGATCTAAGAGGTGGTAGGACGGGTTTGAGGCCAGGGGTGGGGTAACAGCGTTATCCTCCAGAGGCCCAGGAGAGGGATAGGATTGTCAATTGGGTCTTCCCAGTTCAGGTACTTCCTTCAAATACTCTTCTGGCCTGGGCTACTGTGTGGTAGAATGAGTATGGCTAAAGCTTATTCCTGGCACTCATCTCCTAGGACGAGGCTTCAAAGCTCCTTGAGCTCCCCACCATCAAGACCAAGCAGCAAGCAAGGATAATAATCAAAGTCTCCATCAGAGCAGATATTCCTGTGTGGATACCCAGGGGATCAGGAAGGCTGGGGGTCCCTGCATATGTGGAAGAGGACACCAGCCAGCAGACAGGGCAGGATGGTTTGGAAAATTACTCCAGCCGAGAGCCCACAGCTCGGGGCACAGTCATAGATCCATCGATGCCAATACGGAGCACCCCGTCTCCAGGGGCATTTTTTGTGTGTGTAACTTTAAGAAGCTAGTAGAAAATTTAGGATTCTCCAAAAGCCATGAGCTGCCTACTGCAAAACATTCAGTGCCAATGGATTTTTTTTCCCTTTCAATTGAACTTTTTCCCCTGAATATCATGACCAGAGTTCTTTCAAGTGTGTCCAATCTGTCCATAAATAGCAACCACTTATCATGCCCATACTCACTTATGTCATCTCTTTTTTCCTCACATCAACCCCGAATGATGACAAGCTCAGAGAGGTTGACCAGCTTCTCAAAGGCCCCACAGTTAGTGGAAAAGTCAAGTTTCAAATACAAGCTCTTCCCCACTAGGCAGAGCCCTGGACCCCCAGGCGCCCAAGTGGTAATGAGGCTCCAGGCAAGAGGTAAAATTCAGTTAACTCCAGTGCTTTGTGTTAGCTGTGATAAAGCTGTCCCAGGAAAGGACATAGCCTCCTTCATTGACCTCTCTCATCTAAAACCTCTAGCCATTCAGATGGATCCATTCAAGAAAGGTAAAATTTATTGAAGAAATTCTTAATCCTGAATGTTAAATTTTGTATGAACCTAAATGCTACAGTTTTGTTTACTGCCAGGTAGAAACAAGACCAAACAAAAAATGTGTGTGATCCTGACAAAGCCCAGAGTAAATCAAGGGAAATCACTCTGAAGCCCTAACTGTGTAATTCTAGAAGCCCATTCTCAGATTTCTAGGAGTTAGTTCCATTGAGTGGCTGTTGTCACAGGACTGAGAGGGTCAGAAAAGTTGTCGTAGGATAAGAGCCACGGCACAGTGAGAAGACAGGAGACATCTGTCCCAGCTCTGCCACCAAGTATCAAGCATCTTTAGTTTACTCCCTTCACTCTTCCGGCCCCTATCTGACTAGGATCTGTTTCCCAATTTTTTTTTTTTTTACGTCATGGTGCACACACAGGTAAGGCCTACAGCTCCAGACACGCCATGAGGAAATATCTCAGGAGTAACAGTCCTCGGAGACCTGCAGCTCATTTGTGGCAGACCAGTAAGGTAGCCCTGGGCTAGATGATGACTAAAATACCACAAAAATCCCAAGTCTTTGTTCCTTTCCAAACAACTTTTAGGAGGACCCCCAAATGGCTCACTAGGCACGTTTATCACTGGACCTCTACACAGAACCATGTAAAATTCCGAGATCACATCTTATAAGTACAGAAATGAAAGTCCCTCCAGGGAAGGGGTCTTTTTCCCACAGCCTGGGGACCTTCTGTAAGGTCCCATTGAGGAGCTTGAAAAACTCTGTCAACCTTCTCAAAATGCAGCCAAAATTTTGTGTGTATGTACATTTTTTCTAGGGAGATATCCACATTGCTCCTCAAATTATCAGAAAGGGCCACTGTTTAAAAGGACAGAACTTACTGGGATAAGACAAGTTTTATCCATCTTTGAAGCCATGTGGCTGTACTGTACAAATCCTGATTCAGAGCACTTGGTCCATCACTAGGAGAGTATATTCAAGCCTGAGAACACCAGCACCATGTCCAAATACATGAAAGGCCAGAACCCTTGAGAAAAGGCACCTCTTGTATAGGACACAAAACATATTTAATAACAATAGAATTGCAATGTGCAGATATAATTCATTCATGTTATTGCATTAATAATACAGCTTTACATACTTTTAGACAAAAAGAAACATAGGGCACAGGTTGGAGGGGAAGGAAGTTTTTGACTTAAAAAATCATTCCAATTAAGAAATTCACCAACAGTACTGGTCTCCCATAAGTCACAGATTTTCAGAAAATACCTTTACCTCTGATGGATTGGCTTTCTTTTTTTCTGACAGCCTCAACTTGTCATTTATTTATAAAAGGTTAGTCACTGAAGAATCCTGGAGAATCTCTTTCTAAAATTCATAGGCAACTGGGACAGCCTGACAAGAGGACACACCCCAGGGTCTCACCCTGTCTCCTGACTCGTGGGGCTGCTCTGTCTTTCTTCACTCTCTGGAGAGAAAGGGCTTGGAAGGGAGGGGAAGGCTGTAGGGGATGGGATCCACATAGGACACAGTGAAGGGCAAAGTGCCCCTCTGATGTCTGTGGCCATAGAGCCTTCTCCAGCATCAATTGCAATCTCCAGGTACCAAGCAGAGGAGAGAAAACTCAGGGGTGAGAGGAACAGAAGGAGGAACACATCAGCCACCATCACTTCGCTTCTGGGTGCACCAAGAGAAGCAGCTTCCTTTACTTAAACTGGCAAATTCTCCATGAAAAATCACGACTCCCATGTTGGAGACAGAAACCGAGAAGCAAAGAATTCACAAACATCTGATTAGAAGGATCCTCCTGAGCTTCTTATTTCTGTTGGTTGTCCCTTGTCACCATAATAAAATCGATACCTGCTGGGGCGCCTGGGTGGCTCAGACGGTTAAGCGTCTGCCTTCGGCTCAGGTCATGATCCCGGAGTCCTGGGATCGAGTCCCGCATCGGGCTCCCTGCTCCTTGGGAGCCTGCTTCTCCCTCTGCTTCTCTCTCTCTCTGTCTCTCATTCATGAATAAATAAATAAAATCTTTAAAAAAAAAAAAATCGAGGGGCACCTGAGTGGCTCAGTTGGTTAAGCCACTGCCTTTGGCTCAGGTCATGATCCTGGAGTCCCGGGATCGAGTCCCGCATCGGGCTCCCTGCTTGGCGGGGAGCCTGCTTCTCCCTCTGACCCTCCCCCCTCTCATGTGCTCTCTCTCTCTCATTCTCTCTGTCTCAAATAAATAAATAAAATTAAAAAAAAAAAAAAATCGATACCTGCTGCCGTTCACCCAGGGAAGAAAGAAAGAAGGGAGGGGGGACTCCATAAGAAGAATGAAACAAAAAGCAAATATTACACGTGAATCTTAAGGACCTATGGCTAAGTGGAATAAGCCAGGCACAAAAGGGCAAATCCTGTATGATTCCACTTACATGAGGTGCCTGGAGGAGCCGAAATCATAGACACATAAAGCAGAACGTTGCCAGAGGCTGTGGGCAGGGGAGAGGGGGAGGTAGTGTTTAACAGGGAGAGAGTTCCATTTGGGAAAGATGACAAAGTCCCACCAGACACTTTATGCTATCGGCAGCCCGAGAAGGACACAGAGCCACCTGGTCCTTTTCCCTGCTCCCCATACACTCTGCTCCTCCCTGCATGCTGGGGTCCCTGTTCTCACCCCTCCTGCTCCTCCCCACCTCCCCCTCCCCTGTCCTGCCCACTGGCTGACCCCCTTCCAGCCCCCATGGACTCTTCATTAGGGCCGCTATCACGAGATACCATAGGCCAAGTGGCTTACAAACAACAAAAATTAATTTCTCACAGCTGTGGAGACAAGAAGTCTGAGAACAGGTGCCTTCGTGGTCAGGTGAGGACCTTTTTCCAGATCACAGACTTCTTGCTGTGTCCTCACATGGCCGAAGTGGCAATGGACTTCTTGGGGTATCTTCTATGAGAGTACTAATCCTATTCAGGAGGTCTCCACCCTTCTGACCTGATCACCTCTGGAAGGCCCCACCTCCCAATACCATGACACTGGGTGTTAGGACTGCAACATGTGAATTTGGGGGACACAAACATTCTGACCCCAGCAGGCCACTTGTTAGGGCTTGATGTCATCAGCCACAGAACGAGAGACGTGGACTCTATCTAAGCTCCTCAGGTGGGGGTCTTTGAAAGTAGTGATGAGTTTACAGCTAATTTTGAGCATCAAAAGTCCTTGCACCTTGTTAAATCATAAATGGACCTGTGATGAGGGGACGCTGGCTAACTGAAGGATTACTTTGTTTTACGTGGACCAGAATCACATCATCTTGGTGTGCTGTTTCTCTCACATGTTGCTCAGAATCCCAGCCTTCTTGGCCAGCTGGAAAAACAAGTGAATTGTTACTTATTTTGATTTGACAAATCCTTTCCTTTCAAGGCTGGGGCCCAACAGGATGGTGATTAATGGGCAATCCCAGTGGGGCCACACTTGGTCCCCACTGGTCTGTGTGACCACTCAGTGGCTTCCAGTATGAGTGTGCTAAAATCGTGGTCACGAAAAAAGTGCAGTTCTCCTTGCCAGCCCTCCCCAAGCCCACAGATTGCCTCCTGCCAGCCCCTGACTTCCATCTCTGGCCCCATGGGTGCCACACCATGCACCAAACTTCCTGACAACTCAACTGCCACTCTACAGTCCTCCATGTCCCATTCCCCAGGGGCTCACATGCTACATCTGCTCTGTGTTCAGGGAGTGTTCATCAGAGCCCATAAGTGAATGAGGGCCTTCTGGAAGGGTGATGCCTTTCCCTAAAGAAGGAGCTCTGATCAAAATGAGCAGCAAACAGAGGACCTGTAGCAACAAGTACACAACGGCAAGCTTCAAGCCGACTGCCCAAATGCCATGTGTCCTTGTCCAACCATGAGCCACCCCATGCCGACCACGCCATCACGGGTGACCAACCCCACATTGGCCCCCCACTAGCCAGCCAGGAGGTATCAGGACGTGTGCTTCAGCAGCTGGGCAGAAGAAGATGGTGGCAGCCTTTTGGGTGGCATGTGATACCTCACTTTTTTCCAGAACTTGGACTTTGCGCACTGTGACTGCTCTGTGAAGTCCCCACTCCACTGGACGGCCCCGTGCTTCTGCTTGATGTACTGAATTGACTCCGGCATGGCCGCGTAGTCCTCAACTTTCTCCAGTTCAATCAGGATGACCTTCATCCCGTCCTGGATGAGCGCATTGTAGACTGCAATTTGTTCTTCCGACATGTTCTTTAACAAGTCAAAGCTCAGGGATTCAGGAACTAAGATGATGATCAGTCTCCTGCACAGCTTGATGTTTTCGTCAATGACATTGGCCACTGCTGCAAATAAAGAAGATGCAGACTGTCTCAGGAGTGAAAGAGCCTAGATCGATCTCTGAGAATATTAGAAATGGGCCCTGGATAAAGGCAACATGGACTTTAAAATAAATGTGACTTAGGAATGGGTAACAAAAGTGATTTTTTTTTTAACATATATCCTATCTTCTGTGAAGCCTTCCTGATTTTCCCTGAAAAATTGGTCCTTTGTGTTCATAAGTCATATTTTTTGGTAGTTAGTTGCTGATAGGTCACTTTCCTTAGCCCACTGACTGCACCCACAGACCGTGACCTACCCAGAACAAGGGTCTTATCGTGCCTAACTTTGTATCACCAACTTAACTGAAGGTCTAGTATATATTAGATGATGAACACATTTTTTAAATAAATAGATTTTAAAAGGACAGGGAAAATGTAGGTAGTTCCAATGTTGTATTAATCTTTATTTGTGTTTTCCTCTTGGGCTTCGTAGCTAGCTAAATGCCCAGGATTTATAGGACTAACCTGAAACTAAATAACACCCCCTGATGATTTCTTGGGGAGAGTTCTGGAAATATCCAGCTATGGATGAAACTTGGTCTTTTTTAGCATAACGACTAACTTTTTTATCCTCCTTTTTCTTAGAATATAAAAATACACTGTGACCTCCCCAAGTTCATGTTCTTCTTCTCTTTGGCATATTTTTCTAGCCCCTAGAATTTTACAAGGCACACAGCAGGTGCTCAATAAATATTTGCTGAATAAGTGAGTGAAAGAATATGCTTATGAAATTTGAAGTCTTCCACACATTTATGGCGAGCACTAGATCAGATTTTCAGTTCCTCATGGAGGCTGATCTTATAACTTGAAAAGATGCGGGCTGAGATATAGTTGTCACTCACCACGGATATGGGCAACCTACAAATCCAAAGTACTCAGCAACCTTTCCAAATGACCCAGAGAAGGCCACTACCAAATGCTGTAAAGTAGTCATCTTGGTTTCCTCTTGACTAGTGCAGGATGCTTATTTCAAATTTCGGCCATTTGTTGTATAGCGTTCCAAGAAAGAAAATATGTAGGTCAAGAGGGAAACTTTATCTGTCGAATGTCTAATATGCGCTAAGCTCCATATTGGTCCCCACTCAGGTTTTACCTCATTTCATTCTGTTGCCCGAGTTAAGGAAGTATTCTCCTCCCCATTTGACAGATAAGACAGCTGAGGTTCAAAGATGTTGCCTTCATTGCCCAAAGCTACACTCTTGTTCAAAGGGAGACGGAAATAAATAAATTCTATTTTATTTATGTAGAAGAAGCCTGGGCAGTTAAGGTTTATAAAATCATCTTTAAACATGAGCTGATTTACATATTCGAACTGATGGAGAATGCTCAGCAGTTAGTCTCAAGGGCATGAGGGCAAATGACCTCTTTTCTCCATTTGGTCCCTTGGCCAAGGCTGTCATCAGCCAACTGCTCGTGTTACTCATAGTGAGAGTCACATTATTTCAACCAGGAATCCCGGTTATCCTGTTACAGGAATGAGCCCCAGAGAGAAGAGAGCTGGTCCTAACTCGGCTCAGGGGCTGTGGGCTGAGGAGGTGCAAGACTCCCCATGGTTCCTTGGGGAAAGCAAGCAGATCCTCCCACCCCACCACTTCTAAAGTGAAGGAAAAGAGACTTCCCTTTCCTTTTTATTTGTGGCTTTTACACTTCACTCAAAACATACCTTGTCCAGGAAATTCATCCCTGCCAAATATAAATAATTTATATCCACACTGCCTCTCCAGCACCTCGGGCAGAATCTTCAACACCAGCGTGTCCACCTCATGGCTCTGGATTTCTCTTTGAGGCTTGGGGTATAAGACATAGGCATCATACAGCTTGCCATCTGAAAAGGAAATGGGATAAACTCAGAATTATTCCTACCAAATTCTCTTATGTTAACAGAGCGAAAGTCTGACTTGCTACCATGATGTCCTTTTCCCTTGGGTTCAATGACTTCAGAGTACCCAGTTGGCTCCCTTGGCTCCAAGCATTGCCACACTAGGTTCTCATTCTCTCAACACTTTAAATATTTCACTAATGCTCTTTTGCTTGCGTAGTTTCTGAGGACAAGGTGAATGCAACTCACATCTTTGTTTCACGATAGGTAATGTTTTGTTTTGTTTTTTACCTCTGGCTTCTTTTAGGACTTTTTTTCCTTACCTTTGACTTTCTGTGGTTTGAAAATGATATGCCTAGGTTTTTGTTTTTTTGTTCATCCTGCTTGGTATTCTCTGAGCTTCCTGGATTGTGACATTAATTCGGGGAAATTCTTAGTCATTAGTGTTTCAGATACTTATGTTCTTTTCTCTCTTTCTTCTCCTTTGGTATTCCCATTACATTTATGTTACATCTTCTGTGGTTGTCCCACACTCATTGGATACTTTGTTCTTTTTTTCCCCCCAGTCTTTGTTCCTTTTGCTTTACAGTTTTGGAGGTTTCTAGGGTGATAGCCTCAAGCCCAGAGATTCTCTGCTCAGCCATGTCCACTCCACTAGTAAGCCCATCACAGGCAGTCTTCATTTCTGTTACAGTTTTTTTTTTTTTTTTAATTGCTAGCTTTCTTTTTGGTTCTTTTCAGGATTTTCATTTCTCTGCTTACATCTCTCATCTGTTGTTGTGTGCTGTCTGCTTTTATGCATTAGATCCCTTAGCATGCTAATCAGGGATGATTTAAATTCCCAGTCTGATAATTCCAACATCCCTGCCATTTCTGGCTCTCATGTTTGCTCTCTCTTCAAATTGTGCATTTAATATGCCTTATACTTTTCTCTGAGAGCTGGATAGAATGTATCGGTAAAAGAAAGTGCTATAAACTGGCCTTTAGTTACAGGGTGGTGAGGTGTGGAGGGAGGGGACATGTTCTATGGTCCTGTGATTAGATCTGTCTTTTAGTGACTCTGGACTATGAACTTCACAAGCATTTCTCCGTTTTTTATCCCCACTTAGGTGGGGCAGGTTGGCTAGATTGGGCTGGAGTTGGATATTTCCTCCTGTGCAGGTCAGTTAGACTCTGATAATGCCTTAGCAGGTAAGGCTTTCATTAACTAGTTTCTCCTGAGGGCAGGCCTTGTTAATAAGAACTGAGTGCTCTAGGATATTTCAAAATGATTTTTCTCCTCCCCCTGCTGGAAGCACAAAGAGATTTTTTTCTCTGATATTTACAGTCAGAACCAAGTCAGGCTTCTGGAGGGAAAACTCACAAAAGTGTGGGTTTCTACTCCTTATGACTAGGTTCCCTGAAGAATTTAAGTCTCAGATTTATCCACATTGAGCCTCCAGTGATTTGTCAGTTACAATTGGTATTCCTACCCCATTGGCATTGACCTATGAGGAAGGTGGTCCTATCCCCGTTACATAAGAATCACTTCTCCAAGGTCACCCAGCCCCAATTCCAACCTGACACCTTTGACTCTAAGTCCACCAGTCCCCGTGGTGAAAATGAGAATTGAAAGCAGGAGTCTCCATCATCTTCACTCTTGATGGGTCCTGTGCAATGGCGGACTGTCGTAAACTGCACCAGGCAAAATAGGCCAAGTCTCTGTGATTCAGACCCACTAGTGAATTTCGTCACTGCAATTGCACACGGCATTGTAGAGACCAAGCCTCTGAGCAGACTCCAGGAATCTGCTGTGCAGTACAGAGAAGTCCAATACAACAGCACATTTCATCATCACTGGAATGAGCTAAGCATTAATTGAGCAACCAACCACAGGTAACAGTCACTGTGCTCACCCCTGGACAGATGAACAAGACACAAGATCTAACTGGAAAGACCATTCAGAGACTTGGAAATAAAAACATGAGGCGCTACAAGATCACATGGCTGAATGAACAGGAGAGATGGAAAGAAACAAAACTTCCCCATAGCATGAAACTCTTGGGGAAAATTCATAAAGGATGGAGGGCAGTTCCTGGATTTTAAAGGGTTTAGAAAAAAATGAGGCGCTAGGAGTGGAGGATAAAGAGTCCAAGAAGGGGAAGAGCTTGAGAAGCACATGGAAGGGGGATGCTTATGCTCTACTCAGGGGTCATATGAATGAGTAAGAAATTCTAGCAGGGCTAGAAGGTTTGAGTGAACATCTCATTAGAAAATGTGATTTTTTTTGAGCTCCAGGCTATTTGGAAATTCACAGCTAACCTAATGGGACCCAAGAAGAAGCCATCCCTTTTTATTCCCTTTTTATGGAAGTTTGTTTGTTTGAACAGACTTGAAAAGAAGGGTGGCTCTGAGCCCAAAGAAAGAAGGTAAAATCTTGGATACTTCTAGTTTTTGTCTAAATAATAGTACAGACAGTCCCTGACTTAGGAGGGTTCGATTACAATTTTTTGACTTTATGATGGTACAAAAGCAATACACATTCAGGAGAAACCATACTTCAAATTTTGAATTTTGATCTTTTCCAGGCTAGTGATATGCGGTCCTCTCCTCTCTCTGATGGTAGGCAGTGTAAAAAGCCTCAGCTCCGAGTCAGCCACGCAATCTCCAGGGTCAACAGTCGATACATGGACAACCATCTGTCCCCATACACCTGCTGTTTCCCACCTTCAGGGCAGTATTCAATCAGTCACATGAGACAGTCAACCTTGATTATAAAATAGGCTTTGTGTTAGATGATTTTGCCCAACTGTAGGCTAATGTAAGTATTCTGAGCACGTTGAACGTAGGCAGGGCTAAGCTGTGATGTTCTGTGGGTTACGTGCATTGAATGCATTTTATTTTATTTTTTAAAGATTTTATTTATTTATTTGAGAGAGAGTGAGAGAGAGAGAGCACGAGAGGAGGGAGGGTCAGAGGGAGAAGCAGACTCCCCACTGGGCAGGGACCCCGATGTGGGACTCAATCCTGGGACTCCAGGATCATGACCTGAGCCAAAGGCAGTTGCTTAACCAACTGAGTCACCCAGGCACCCTTGAGTACATTTTAACTTATGATATTTTTAACTTATAATGGGTTTATTGGGATATAACCTATCATAAGTCAAGGAAGATCTGTAGTTAAAATGTGTACAGAACTTTAGAGTTTACATTGTAGCCTTTTCCCATTCAATAAATTCTCACGCCAACCACCACTGACAACCTTTAAGTCTCTGCCCACCATTCCTGGCCATCCTGTGGAAATGGTAATACACACACATGGGCATCCATGCACACTCACTCTTCCTCAGTCTCCCCAACCCCTGTCATGAAAGGAAGCCGTATGAGAATGGGGACTTTTTTTGGTGGGGTTCCACCCCCAGTGCCTGGAGCAGGAACTGAGACAGAGGAGGTCCTATCAGTAGTTGCCAAATGTCTGAATGGAGCTTGATTTTACAGAGGCTCAAGAAGGTTAAATCTGTGAGGGGAGAGAGAAGTTTTAGATCATGAGCTGATTCAGCTTTTTAATAAATTGGAGTCATAAGGCAGGTACCCAAGGGATGATTAATTTGTGTTTGGAGTCGGCAGAAACCCAACCCAGCTAAAACTCCTTCTGTAACGTCTTCAATATTACTAGTCTATACCACCACTCCATAAGTGGATATTTTTCTGAATTAAATTTAATGTCATATACTTGACTTTCTAAAGCCAGGGGACATATGAAAAAAAAATTTTTTTAGGATTTCATACAGGCTTTATGTTTTTAAACATTTTAAAAAGGATTTAAATGTCCTTAAAAATTTGATAATATTTAATCCTTTTATGATAAAGGGTTGGTTGGGTTGGCATTCTCCTCATCACATAGCAGAGCCTCCCAAATGAATACAGTATTTCTTGGTCTGTAAACTACAGCAAACATCCGTGTTCATCACCACCTTTGTCTGAAACCCTGCCACGGTGTCTCTCTTCTCTCAGGCCATTTCTCTTTCTTCCTTCTCATTAAAAAGCAAAACAAAACAAAACAAAAACCTATGTTTGCTGAGTGAATTCTCTCTTTTGACTGTGTTCCACGTTCCCTGTTTTTAGGCGAGGTGTCTGAAAAGACAGGTGCTCCATGCTGGGCAAATGCAGACTCTGAGACAGAAGAGACTTAGGCAGCAAGGGACTCTCACACCTTCTCGAAAAGCAAAATACAAAATGCTCCCAATTTTTGGGTCATCTTTTATTTTTTTCTTTCTAAGCTTTTGGGTAGTAATGTAACCTCTGTGGCTTGTTATCAAAAATGCAGTGGGTTCTCATCACTTCCAAATGATCAGTTCGTCCTTTATTCACCAGTCTAGCAAAAAACATCAAGCTGAGGCCATTTTGCTTTTAGTCTCTGACTGAGGTTTTGAAGGGCGCTCTCAGACAACTGCCTGCCAGCTTTGCCCGTCATGGTCACGGTGAGGGTCACATTTGTATCCTCGGATTACGGGAAAGGGAGCTGAGACAGACAAGGCTGTGTTATTTCTCGTCTTTGAGCTGCTAAGTGCATAGCCTTGATTCAAATCCAAGTCCACCACTCCCTCTGGTGTGGCTGAGACGAGAATCAGGAGGAGGAAACGTCACAAAACATATACCTGATTAGTCCCTTGCAAGTGTGTCAGACTGCATTTTTTTCAGAAAATAGCCCCAGCAATATTTCCAGTTCCACATGCTCTTTCAGAACCGACCATACCTCCCCACAAAGAAGTGGAATCTATTTCCATTCCCTTGAAATTGATGAGGACTCTGTAGCTGCCCTGATAAATAGAATGTGGTAGAATTGACTCTATAGATTTAGGGTTTGAGTCGTAAGAGAAAATATGGCTTTTCCTGGCTCTCTTGTTCTTGAAACACTAGCCCTCGGAAGTCAATCACCGTGCCATGAGGAAGCCCAAAGTAGCCCACACAGAGACCACATGGAGAGGGCACTGGGGCCTCTGGTCACTGAGGCCACCAACTGATAGCCAAAATCAATTGCCAGTCCTCCAGCGGGGTCCCTAGACATCATGGAGCTGGGACAGGCCATCCCTGCTGTGCCTGTTCACGTCCTGACCCGCAGAACCCATCAGCAAAAGAGATGGCTGCTCTATGCTACAAAGTTTTGAGGTAATTTGCTTCCCAGCCATAGTAACTGTAAGAGTGGTTGGGAAGGTAACAATGAATGGCAATAGATAATGATGAGTTTGACATGCCCCCCCAACTGTTTATTTCATCCAGAAAACTGTAGAAACGTAGACCTACTAGTAAGTTTTTTAAGGAAAGGGCCTGTTAGCAGATACTCCCACAACTTGCCTTTATATAGTGGATAAACCTAGACAGTTTATCTAGGTTCTGGCCAAGCTCCTTTAATTTCCTGAAGACATTCAGCCCTAATTTTGATGTTAAAACATCTGCATATGCCTTTATTGGCCGTTGGCAGAAATACAAAAGTCTATTGGGATGTATTAATGTTTATGAGAGATTGCTTAAAGATTATTCAACCCCTTACTTTCTTTTCTTAAGTTTCAAACCTAATCAAACTGAACCAATGGAAAAATCAGACAGAATCAATTTGGTCTTCACATAAGTGCTTTTACTTGATTGCATGAGGTTTGGCATTTTAGCCCTAGCATGGAAGACACTAGAAGAAAAGCCACATTCAACATGCTACTACATTTACCACAGGAAAGTTGTTGTAGACAAGATTCATTATATTACACCCTTTAAAAATGAGTCTCCCTACAAAAACTTTTCCTTGGAAAATTGTCCCAGAAAAAGCTATGCGCTCTCATAAGCAGTTGAAGCGCATTTGTGAACAGCACACAATGTGTCTTGTCATTGCTTTTACCTTTACTTCTAAAGCTAACTCATCTTTAAAAAGTGTCCAAAATTTGTCATTAATTCTACCCCCAAGCTTTATTTTACCATTCTACCCTCCATTCACTATACCTATTTTGTTTTTGTTTTTAATTGTTGTGTTCTACATGTATGTTCTCCACAAGCTTATTTGGAAGGCGGTGAGACATATGCAAATCTCTCTAGATGTGGAAACTGGCCCTTTTATTTTTGTACACGCATGCACACCCGGAAGGAGAATTTTTAAAGTAACTCCTATAATTTACTAGAGAACATGCAGAACTCATGGATTAGGGCTGTTGATGACTCAATAAAACTGAGCTATACCCACCTGTTACTCATGTTATAAAGTGTAACTCATCTAGTTGGGGAAATATTTTATCATAAGAAGGACACAATTTGTCTATTTCTTCATTTGTATTTGCCACCCCTTACTCCACAGGTTCCCCCCAATAACTCAGAAAATATCTCCCAGGGACACAATGCTGGAAATAGCATCAGGGACAAATCTTAAGTCTCATCTCTAGCTCATTGTCAAAGCCAACACTCAGAGAGGAATTACAGGGGTCGTTCTCATAGATGGAGCTGTAGAGATTAGAGATTTAGTCATAAAGTATGCAAGTACTTATCTGAATTAAGAAAAAAAAGGAGCCCTGGCTGACCGTGAGCCCCGATGTCCAAATTCTCAGCCCGAATTTGGGCTGGAGCCCAGTCTCAGCAGAGGGTGGGGCTCCCTGAGTCTGTCATCTGCTCAGCTCCCCTGCTCTGGGTGAGTCACTATTCCTTTCTTCTCTTCCTGCTAAACTCGACCTCACCAGCAGGCAGCTGCACTGGCCCTCGGCTCTCATGCTCCTGGGAGTCACAGTGAGTCATGGAGTGAGACGCGCACCCAGACCAGAGATCTGGGAACACCACTGAAGTCCCCGCAATGTCCAGTCAGTCAGTAAATAGAAAGCAAGTGGTGGTGTGCTGGTCTCCTCTGCCACATTTGCAGGCAGGAGCATAGCCACAGGGAGGCTCCGAGGGGACCCCACATCCAGCCGACGGGCCTCAGGACTAGAGAGGCTTCAAGAGGCATTGGACATGCACAGTTGCGTTTCTGCGATTGAATTTGGCCCTCAAGAAAGAACGTGTTGCTTTCTACACTGCTCCGGGACTGCCAGTTTTGATTTCGGAAATTTACCTTAGAATAAAGTCCAAGTTAGGACACCTGTTTTCTCAAATAGATGGACAACAACTTGTACTGTGTGTTTTATATGCAAAGCAGACCCTCGGTGTAAATAATGCCTTTCTTACTGGTGGGTACTCATAAAACGTGCTTGGACACCCACTTCCCTGAACTCCAACTCTAGTCCTCATCGCTGGTCTCCAGACCTGAATGGTATAAATGTGGGTATTTCCGTGTACGTGAAGCGCATAGACTTCTCTCGGCTGTGTATTAATTTTCCATCCAATCAGAGGACATTAAAGCAGACTTATTATTTTTTTTCAAGGCCTTAATAGATCACAACCATTCTGAGACAACAAGAAAACAGCACAGAGTTTAAAAAAACCACAGTGGTTGGGGGTGGGGCGCCTGGGTGGCTCAGTCGGTTAAGTGTCCGACTCCCGATCTCAGTTCAGGTCTTGATCTCAGGGTCATGATTTCAAGTCCCGAATTGGGCTCCATGCTGGGCATGGAGCCTACTTATAAAACAAAAAGAAAAAGAAAAAAATACCACAATGGTGGGAAGTGCCTGTTCCTCAGAGTTTCAGGACCGCACTGAGGCATTTGTGTGTTGAGACGTGTTGGCAGGACGGGAGCTCCAGAGACCATGCTGAAACCTGGGGCAAAGGGGCAGAGGCAGCTCGCTTTGGCCTTCAGACTACAGGGTGCCCCTTGTGCCCCAGGTCCCTGCTCAGGGTTTTCCTGGACTTCAACTCAGTTGTTCCTACAATACTCTGAGAGGCAGGCTCTGATCATTTTCTCTCCCTCCCCACTTCCTCCCTTTCCTTCCCTCCTTCCTCCCTTCCCTCCTTCCTACTTTCCTTCCTCCTCTCCTTCCTCCCTTCTCTTCTTCCTTGCTTCTTTTTTTCTTTCATTCTATAGCCAAGAAAGAGAAGAGCATTCAACACTTCCTAAGATCACATGGGAGTAAGGGGAGAACCAGATGCAAACCCAGGTCTCTCTCTAGCCTTGCGAGTCAGGGACTTAAATCTTTCAGGCCCCAAGTACAGGGCCTAAAAGAGCTGCCCCCACAGGCAGCTCATCTCTCTCCATAACGTAAACTCTGCTCATGCGCCCACCGTGCTGAAGACGTATCGTGGATGGAGAGCCCTTTGTCGCTCTAGGAGAAATTGTCTTCTTTGGCAAACAGCAGTAGATGTGAGAACCTCTCTAAAACAGTCACAGTGGGACCCAGAAGATGACGTGCTCCTGCTTCTTAGCAAAGATTTGCTCGGCCACGACTAGCCGGCAAGCCTCATTCGACTGAACAATGCTGGTGACCATGGACCAATGGTTTCCCTGAAGCATGAGAAGTCCAGGGAGAGTCCTTCCTCCCAATTTGCCAACAACATGAAAGGTAAGCTAGTAAAATATGATAAAGTGTATTTACAATGGTTATACGGATGAGTGGATGCCAAGTATGAGACAATCTTTGGTGGTTACCCACGCTTACCTTCTCTGGTCCCGGTAGAATGGAAGGCACTTCGATACCAGAGTGCAATGTCGATCTTAAAAATGTTGTAGAGGTACATGACAGATGCTGTTGCACTCACCAAGGCGAGAAGCCCACCTATCAAGTAAGCTTGAACATTTGGAGCTACAAATGACAGCAAATAAAGATATAAACAAATAATAATGATAAAACAAAGAGTCAACTCTATGCTTTACTTATACAGATCACATTACAAGTGCCAAATGGAAATGTGTTAGAGGTCAATGAGGATAATGCTTAAATATTTGTTTACAGTTAAATATAATAGGTATATGGGAGTAGAATAATCTGGTGTGGCCCACGAATTTCAGAAAGCAAATGTGCTCTTGGGAACCTGAGGAGGATAATTCTGCAGAAGCCTAGCTCCTGATGGGGCTGGCTGGAGTGCATGAGGACTTCTCTCAAAACACACACGGCCAGGTCTCACTTAAGCCAACTCTACTAGACTCTCCCGAGGTAGAGCCTTGGACATGTTTATTGGAAGACCTTCCCCGGTGGTTCTGTTGCACATTCCTGATTATTCCACTGTCATAACTGCTTTCATGGGCACTCAAAATTGAGCAGCAGGGCACCTGTCGTAAATAAAGAGCCATCAACTGCCTCCCCTGAAAGCCAACTCTGTTGTCTCCGGAAGACTGGCGGAGAGCCAAACTGCCCCCTCATCCTCTTTGTGCCAACAAGGTCCAGGCCGGGGGCCTGTCTGCAAGGCACAGTCTCTGAAAGGGCAGAAAGCGTGTCTATCCCTGCTCTGCTTTGCAAACACACTGCAGAGCAATTATGGCAAAAGCTGTGGGTGGGAGACGACCAAGAAGCAGAACCAGTTCCCCTGGAATGTCAAGTCCCTGAAAACAGGCTCCTACACATCCCAGAAGAGGAACAGTACAGTTTGCTCCCTTACCACAGGCCAAAACAGTGATGCCATGGAAGGAGGCTCTAGGAAGGAGAGAATTTGGAAAGAGGAAGAAGGACAAAGGAAGAGAAAGTCTCTCCATTCTTAGAATCCACCGCATACACCACTTCCTTCATCAGCCCCTTCCAGATGCTCCAGTCTCCACTAAAAGGTGTGTATGTATGTATGTGTGTATGGGGGGGGGGATAAAAGGGGAAATTGTCTTTTCTTTGAACCCCCCAGAACACATTCATTTAAAAAAAAAAAATACTCCCTGAGGAGTTTATCATGACCTGCCCTAGGTCACACCATGTTGCAAACAGTTTGAGGTCAAAGACATCCCTATGCACTGCAGTATGTCTTTAAATACAATAAAGCACAATAACTAAAACACATTCTGGGTCAACAGAAATAGCAATCCATTGATTAAGTCCCAGCACAACCAAGTGGATCTGCTCTGCACGCGGGCGCCCGATCTGATCCTGACCACCTGTTTGAGCCTCTAGCTTCTATTAGATGGATTGGCCCTTCCCTCCCATCCTTCCAACTTCTCTTTGTCCTTCCCCACATCTTGGAGCAACAATGCCACCTCCCCCTTTGGGAGGACCCAGGTCTGGGAAGTTGTAATGTATAGACTTCAGGGATCTTGGTACTGCAATGGTCATGATAAGAAGACCGTGCCATGCAATATTTATGAGATTCATAAAGCCCCTGGTAAGTAGACAGGAGTGATGGCTGGCAATTCTTGAGTTGGTCACTCATTGCCTTCAGGAGCATTGACACCCCTCCCCCCACTCTGGAAATGAGTTTGAAACCAACAAATTCCAAACAAGAAATTAATGCCGAGTTTCCTTATTGAATATCACTCTGCTGCCTCACACCAAGTGTCTCCTTGTCATTGTTTTGAACCTTCTGAACAGCGTGTACCCCACCGAACCGTTACCTGGGAATTTTAAAATAAAATATGCTGCTGACACTCCGGCGTGACAAATGAAAGGATGACCATAATCTTCCATTTTCACTTCCAAGAAGGTTATGTTCACTGTGTAAAAAATATGTTTCTGGAAAGAAATGTGGGATCTGTAAAAGAAAGGAGCCAACCATTTATATGTGAGGCATAGTTACCCAGCATAGTATATCATCTTCAGTCCAGAGAATAAAATTCTCTCTCTGGAGAACACTTTAGGCCATCACAGTTACCCTGGGAATGCTTCACGGACTAGCTCGGTGAGGTGCGTGAGTTGTGGCCCTTCCGGATTTCCATTTTCTTCTGGACAGCGACAGATGTCATCCTGAACCCTCCAGAGCCTTCCTCTGGTTGTCTCCACATAGGCTAACTTATCTACCCTGCAGGGCCCAACACCAGTTCTTCCGCCCTCGGACTAGTGAATCTTGCTTTACGCCACCCAATTTATACCACCACAAATTGGGTTTCTACCACGTAATTAGCGCATGATTAAGTCCTGTCTCCCCCAAGAGTCCCCACGCTGCTCCCTGCTTTGCTACTGGAGCCTTGAAGATCTATGGCTCATGATATAACAAAATAGGAAGGAGGCTGGTTTTAAGGACTAGCTGAGAGAAATGGATTTTGTTGTGTGAGGCCCATACTTGATGTTTTGCCTCATCTGTCTAACTAGGATGTGGGAATGTTGATAAGATGAGCCCCTCACACTTCTCTGAAGGGGAGGCTCAGCCCTGCCGAGCGCTGAGGACATCTTTAAGAGGCAAAGCCAAAAGGAGTGATGAGGGGTCAGTGAGAAGCATCTAAAAGAAGTAGTACTAGCACCAAAATAATGTAAGGGAGGAAATTCTTGTCGGCTTTTAGGGAAGCCAGAAAAACACAACACCTACTCGGATCCTTCTCTGATGCGTTTGGATTCACTGTAGTAATCATCCACCAAGGTGTTATTGACTCTCCAGCATCGGAGATTTGTATTATCCCTTGTGTCTGTGATATTGCAGTCCACAGTAAGGGGGGAGCCTATAAAAACAAATTTATAAATGTTACATGAAAAGCCTACAAAAAAGTGATCAGCTAAACAATATCCTTGAATATCTTTTGATGACCAAAAATTCACCCTGGAGGTCAATGTTCCTCTACTTTATTCTCTCCCTGGACAGAGATGATAAGGGACAAGTTACCTTCCAGAGTGTCTACTGTACAGAGATATCCAGGTGATATCCAAATACCACCAGCTTCTGGCCAATGCCCTCCTGAATATCAGGAACACAGATACTACCACCAGTCTTAGGAAACTTAACAAAGAACTTTACAAAGTATTTCACAGCTTAACAATAACCCACAACCCTCGGACCAAGTATTTCACATGCATTGTCTTCTTCAGTCTTCCTGTCTTCAAAACCATCCTACAAATCAGGAAAGAGGAGGAGCTGTAATGCCCACTTTACAAATGAGAACACCGAAGTTCAGAGAGATTGGTGACTTGCCCAAGGTCACACAAGAGAGAAAGAAATGAGACATGAATGCTGGTTTTCTATTTCCAAATCCAGTGATATTTCTACTTCACCAATCGTGACCCCTCTCCTGACTCCACTGCACACATTCACAAATTATATTTAATAATTTTATATTTTTATTTGATTTTTCTATTTATTTTCTCTTTTTATTTGATTTTGCTCCATGAGCCTAATATATCCCATCTATTTACTCTACATAAAAAATTACTTTATTTCTACACAGTCTACTTCATGTTTCTTTATTCTAGGTGGAATTTATTTTTTCTAATTTGTTTTTTTTTGAAAGATTTTATTTATTTATTTGAGAGAGAGAGAGGGAGAGAGAATGAGAGAGCACGAGTGGGGAGGAGAGGGAGAAGCAGGCTCCCCATGAGCAGGGAGACGGATGCAGGGCTCAATCCCAGGACTCCATGATCACGACCTGAGCCGAAGGCAGAAGCCCAACCAACTGAGCCATCCAGGCGCCCCTAGGTGGAATTTATTTTTCAAAAATCATGAACTATAACACATGTATAGTAAAAAGCATAGAACATAAATGTAAAGCACACATCCATACCACCTTCACCCCATCAGGAAAACAGCATATTGCCGGAACTCCAGAAGCCTCCCACATGCCCCCCCTACTTTATACTTTATCACTTATGCATTTGCTCTTGAACTGCAGCTTCTGTTGCCCACATTTTGTTTGTGATGCTGATCCGTGCTGCTGCATGTAGCTGACTCCATTCAGATAAGAGAATGCACTAGCACTTGTTTATTTCTTGTACAGCTGCTATGCACACATCTCATTGTTGTAGTGTTTGCCTCGATGCGTAAGGTTGCTGTGAGCTCTCCGCTGCATGCCCCCCGGGGCACGGTGCACACCTTTCTTGTATACACACCCTTGTACGTGACTGTGCACGTGCCTCTCTATCTACCAGTAAAATCGGTAGATCTTAGGTTATGGGTATCTTCGACTTTAAAGGAGATGCCGAATCGTTTTCCAGCGCGGTTGTACGATTTACCCTTCCACCAGCGGTGTAGGAGAGCACCTGTTACTTTACCTACTCAGCAGTATGTGGTGTTGTCAGTCTATTTATTTTCGCCAGCTCGATGTGTGTGTTGGGACATCACACTGTGGATTGAATTTGCATTGCCCTAGATTGCACCTGCCGCAGCACGTTTTTAGACCTTCATTGGCCGGGTTGATACCCTCTGTTGTAAACTGTCACAGCGGTCTGTCTCACCTTCTGGTAGGTTGACTTGTCTTTCAATAAACGGAAGTTACTATGTTTACCATAGTCGTACTTATCAAATTTTACCTCAAGACTAGTCATTGACTAGCATGTCTTTATTGTTTTTCATCTTTCCTTACCCCAAATCATGAAGGATTTTTTTTCTAGAAATGCATCATTTTGACTTCTTTAGATCTACAACTCACTGGAAATTATTTTTATAAATAGTGTGAAAAAGGGGTCAGGTCTTTATTTTATTCTTTATCCCATTGTCAAGTTCTGTTTATTGAAAAGATCACACCTTACCTAGAGCAGTGTCAACCTTGCCAAAATCAAGTGTGTTTTATGGTGGATCTATTTCTGGGCCTTCAATTCTAACCCGTTGTCTATCTTTGCATCAGAACTACACTGTCTAAACTATGGTAGATTTTTCATAAATCTTGAAATCTGGTGGTACAAATCCCCTCAGCTAGTCCTTTTTCATTAAAAGTATCTTGACTATTATTCAGTCTTTACTTTTTTCCATACCAACATTATAATCAACCTATCAAATTCAGCAAAAACTAAAATTTGTTGAGATTTTGGCTCTCCCTCAAAACAAAGGACATATGTTTAATAGTTCAGTCTTAAGTGTGTTGTTTCTTCTAAGGGCTTCTAAAAACAGATTTTTAAAAATCAGATTAAGGACATTCCCTTACATGCCTAGTTTAGAAGTTTTTTTTTAAATAATAAATTCCTAGTTCAGGTGTTCTGAGTGACTTTGCTGCATCTATGAATGTATTTTTTCTTCTTTAATTTGTTAATGTAAAATAAAAGGAAGACTTACCTAATATGAAGCAACCTGGCATTGCTTCATGTAAGCCTAACTGAGCCGCAATGTATCATCCTTTGGGTATGCTGCTAAAATAAATTTGCTAATAATGTGCTTAAAATTTTTCATCTGTGTTGAGGAATGAGACTGGCCTGAAATTTCCTTGTCCTTGTTGGGTCTGACTGTCAAGATTTTCCGGACCTAATAAAATGCGTTAACGACTATTTCTTCTTTTTCTACTTTGTGAAACAATTTGTTTAAATCTGTCAAATTTCTTTATTAAATGCTTTGTAGAGTTCACTAGTAAAGCCAAGTGGATCAAGAATTCTGTTTGTGGTAAGATTTTACATTTCTGGTCATATGTCTATTCTGAAATCTGTATCTTCTTTTGCCAGATCCTTTGTGCTGATTTTTATGGAAACTGCCCATTTCTTTTTAGATTTTCAAATTGTTTGGCGCTAGGTTTTCCAGAATATTCTTTTATGACCTTTTTCATGTGTATATTATCTATGGTGATGGCCTCTTTTTCCTTCAGATTGTGCCTTCCCTCTTTTCTTAATCATTCAGGGGGTTAGCAATCACATTCCACTTTTCAAAAAAAGAACTTCTTTCTCTGTTAATCACTCAATTGCATGTTCATTTACTATTTCACTATTTTCCGCTATTACTGCTCACCTCATGTCTTCCATTTCTGTTGGATTTATTTTGCTTCTCCTTTTCTGTCTTCAGGGGTGAGCGTGCAGCTCATGGATATTTCAACTAGCTTCCTTTTCTAATTCAGACTATCAAGTATGTCCTGATCAAATCTTTGTATCCCACCAACCTTGGTGTAATCTTTTCATGAGCATTCATTGTCAAATTATTTTCTGATTTCTATTTTTATCCATGGGCTATCTGGAGGGTTTTTTTATTTGATTGTTTTCCAACCTATGCAGTTATTCTGTCTTTTTATTGCTTATTTCCAACTTCAGTGTTTTATGGTCTGAGAATATATAGTTTATATGATTTCAATCTGTTGGATTTTGTTGAGACTAGCTTTATAACCCAATATATGGTGGATTTTATTAAACATGTCTTTTTTTTCTTATTTCTTTTTAAAGATTTTATTTATTTATTTATTTGAGAGAGAGCAAGCACGAGCTGGGGGGAGGGGCAGAGGGAGAGGGAGAAACAGACTCCCCACTTGAGTAGGGAGCCCCATGTGGGGCTCAATCCCAGGACCCTGGGATCATGACCTGAGCTGAAGGCAGACACTTAACCACTGAGTCACCCAGGTGTCTCTTTATTAAACATTTCATTTTGCTTAGAAAGAATGTGTAATCTGTAGTAGATGGGCTCAGGGCTCTATAATATGAACATTAGGCCATTTGTTGGGCACATTTTGTTTGTCGTTATAGGGTGTTCTGTTTGCTTTGTTCTACCAGCTACCTTGCAAAGTGTCGTTATTATTATTCCATTATTAGTGTGGACTTAATTTCTCTCCATAATCCTGAACTAACTCTCTCTCTTCCTGCACGTGTACACACACACACACACACACACACACTTCTAAGACCATGTTATTATGTATCTACAGGTTCACCATTGAACTTTTAATCATTATGAAGTATCTCTGTTTATCTCTAATAATGCATTCTGCCTTCAGATCTACTTTAATACTTGTATAATTATACCAACATTATTTTGGTTAGTGTTTATAACATATATCATTTTCTAGTCTTTTCTCTTCCAGCATCTTGTAAACAGCCCAGAGTTTTGATTTCTTCTTTCAAATCCAGTATGACAATCTTTATTTGGAGCATTTAGCCCATCCTGTAATCGGTGATTTATGTATGTTTAAATCAACTATCTTATATATATATATATTTTTTTGTTTTATTTGTAGCATCTGTCCTATATCTGTCTTTTCCTTCTTGCTGTCTTTTGATTCCTTCTTTTGGATTCCTTCTTACCTTCCTCTTGATTATTTTTTATTATTCCATATAAAGCTGTATTTTTGAAATTATTATTACTTTAGTGTTGTCCTAAATATTAAAACATAGAGCCTCGAACTTATCAAAATCTGATATTATTGATTATTTCTATCGTCTTCTAAGAGAATGTAAAGTATTAGGATGCAATTGCATTTAACCTTCTCCCAGCAGACAGGCAAATGCAGTTGTGAATTCTAATTTCATACATATTTTAAATTCCATGAACAATCGTCATTATTATTGCCTCATTCAGTCAAGATTCATTTGGATTTACTCACATATTTATGCCAACATGCGCTCCTTCCTTCCCTCCTACAAAGCTGATTCACGATCTAGAAACATTTCCTCCTGCTTAAAGAACACTGGAGTAGCTCCTTTAATGTAAGACTGTGGTTAGCAAATTTTGTCATTTTAGGTTTGTCGTATTTTCACTGACTATAAAATTAGCATTCTTTTTTCAGCAGACAACCTCCATTATTTCCATCAAAAATTCAAACAGTGAGCTTACTGTTGCGCACAGAGGATTTTTTTTTCCTTTTTTCCTAACTTTTAAGATATTTTTCCTTTGTTTTTCTGCAGCTTCACTTTGGTATTTCAAGGTGTAGGTTTGCCTTTATTTGTCCTGCCGAGTCTCCTTAGCTTCCAGAGTCTTTGGATTAATGTGTCTATCAGTTTGGAATATTCTCAGATTATCACCTAAATAATACTGCCTTTGCTCCCCTTTTCTCTTTTCTCTTTCTTCTGAGATTACAATTACATACATGTTAGCTCTGGGTATCCTCTCTCTCTAACCTCTGTACTTCCTATTCTTCTGTCTCTTTGTGCTTAATCATAGGCATTTTATCCTGACCTATATTTTTGTTCAGTAATCCTTTTTTCAGATGTCTCATATGCCATTAAACCCTTTATTGAGTTTTTGGTTTTGGTTATTGTACTTGTCAATTCTGATATTTTATTTGTTCTTTTTCAAATCTGATATAGTCCTTTTTAAAAAGTTTGCAGTGTCTTCTGAAAATTGCAATCATGTCTTTTCCTTCCTTGCACATAGTAAGCACAATTAATATCTATCTATCTATCTATCTATCTCTGGGGCCCTGGGGGTCTGTTTCTGTTGTATGTGGTTTACCATCTAGAATTTACTGAGTCAAAAGTTATTGTGAAGGTTCTGAATGCATACTGGCATTTCCTTCTACAAAGTTTATACCAGTCCATTCATTTATTTAGCTATTAAGCAACTATTTCTTGAGTATCTGCTTTGTTCTAGAAACTGTTCTGAGCACTGGTGATATAGGAAGGAACAAACCAGACAAAAAGCCTGCTCCTAAGGAGCATTGACTCAAATAGAATTAGAGATACCAGGACAAAATATATGAGGTAGTGATAAGTACTTTACCAAAAATAGAGAGAGCTCAGGGGATAGAGCATGATGGTGGGTGAGGTGTGCTGCTTTTTGTTTTTTAAGATGTTATCTATTTATATGAGAGAGAGCAAGAAAGAGAGCATGAGCAGAGGGAGGGGCAGAGGGAGAAGTAGGCTCCCGCTCAGCTTGATGTGGAGCTCAATCCAAGGACTCCAAGATCATGACCTGAGCAGAAATCAGATGCTTAACCATCTGAGCCACCCAGGCACCCCAGAAGTGTGCTGTTTTAATGTGGTGGTCAAGTGAGATGACATTCATTGGCGACCTGATGGAAGTGAAAGAAGGGACCATGGAGCTGTGTGGGGAAGAGCATTTCAAATAGAGGGAACAGCAAGTGCAAAGTCCCTGAGGTAGAGGTGTGCTTGAGATGTTCAAGGAACAGCAGGAATACCAGGGGGATCAAGTGTAAGCTTACCAGTGTGAACACTGGTAAGGGGAAGTCAGCCATGGAGGCCCATGTTGGGAATGTAAGGACTTTGAATTTTATTCAAGTGAGTGGGAATTTTATTCACTGAGTGAGATGGGAAACCATTGGAGAGCTTTAAACACAAATGTTTTAAAAGGAGCACTCATATTCATGGCCAGTAATGTATTAGAACACCCTCTATATTATCCTTGCTAATATTTGGTATTTATATTTTTAATCCTTACCAATTTCATAGATACATATCATTTTTTTGTGTGCATTTCTTTTATTGTGGATGAATATATTTTCATATTTTGTTAGTCTTTTTTTTCTTCTGTGAATTATTCATTTGACTCTTTTGGATTATTCCTAGTCCTTGATTTGTTGGTATTTAATGATATTACCTGTTTTTTTATGTCTCTGTTCCAAACATTCTCTCCTAGTTTGTCATCACATTTTCACTTTACCATTTTTCCTGTATACAGATATTTACAGTTTTTATGTGAGTCTAATTTTTAATCTTCTGTGATTTCTTCCACTGATTTTATGTGTAGATAGTACATCATTCTGAGGTTAGATATAAATTTATCTCAGTTTTTAATGGTACTTCTGTGGATTTATTTTTATATGTTGTTCCTTGATTCATCAAAAATGTATTTTTATGTCTGATATGAGGTAAAGAATGAACTACATATTCTTCACATTTAAAAAGTTACACTAATATCACATATATACTAGATCTCTCTCTCTACACATGCTTAAATGCCACAAATCTTTACTAAACTGTTGTATATTGTAGGATATGCTTATTATCTTCCATTATGTTGCTTTAATCTTTCAATTTGGATACAAATACCAGTATTTACTTACTGTTGCTTTATAATTAAACATACTTTACTATTCACTAGAAAAGATCTCTATTTCTTCTATTCAATTATTTTCCTGCTAAATTTTTCCAACATTTTTCAACATGAATTTTTAAAATGCTTTGTCAAGTTTCAGGACATTCAATGAAATTTAACTGGTTTTATATTAAATATTTATATTAATCTGCCCTTAGTGATTTCAATGGCTTTGATAATTTTACTCACCAAGTTGTACTTCAATTGAATTGTTTTTTGGATAAATGATTTTAGGAATTCTTCTGGCATATCCATTTGTTTCTGCTAAGAAATCATACCCACATGAAATTGCATTAGAATCATGTATGATACATTCCCACCTATTTATCCAATGACAGTGCAAAGAAAACATGGCACTGAGCAGGACTTTAATAAGCATGAGTCAAGGAAAGAAAAAAACTCATGGCGTGATAAACTACCACCTCATAAATGCATATTTTTAAACCATAAATAATTGAATGCTAAGGAAAAACCCTAAAAGCTGGGCTACCAGGAGAGTTTGCTTTGCCGTTCTATATTTGGTATAAATATAAACTGATGAGGTCGTGTAATAAAATCTCATTACCTAATAATCCAAATACAGTTTGTAAACAGTGGCTCTAAGCCAAGCTCCGGTCTAGGTCCCAGATAGAGAAGAGCATGAGCCAATGTTTTATCTTCGGTCCCGCTGCTCCATCCTCCATCCCTGCTTTTCCGTATTCTTTACATCCTGTCCTCTTCTGTTCTTCTTCAGCTCTTCCATTCCTTCACCCTGCTGTAAGACTGTCTTTCCTCGTGTTGACTTCCCAGCCCTTTGTTTTTCTCTACTTCTTCCTTTCCCCACCAACATCTAGTAATCACCTACCTAGCTCCACATTTGTCCTCTATATTTGGGGTGGGATGCGGAGACATTATAAGAGGGAAGCTAGGAAAATGCAAAAACATGTGTCTTGTATAATGACAATACTATGTGCACATTCTACAAACTATTCAAGTTCAGTGTGTCCCAAACAGAGGTCATCATGGGCCAGTGGGGATGTACCACTTCACACTAGATCGCACACAGCTCAAACCTGGAAGTCACTCTAGGCAACAGTTCTTCTCACCTCTTCAAATTATCAATCACAAAACCAAACTAATTTCAGCTCCTAACATTTCTCTGTGTGTGCCTCCTTCTTCATGGCTAAACCCTCTATTTTCCACTCTCTAGTCTTTCATTGGTACTCTTATTCATATCCACCTCTTCCGTTACCATCTAAAGGACAAGGACTTTGAAAGTTGCATCTCCAGACCTTTCTCTAGACCAGGACCAGGCCAACTTGATATCTCCACGTGGGCACCTCCAAGTACTCAGCTTACCCATGACCAAACTCATGATCTCACTCCTAAATCCAGTTTTCCTCCAGAGTTATACTATTTCATTGAATAATATCATCATCTAGTCTGTTGCATATGCCAAAAGGCCTAGCTCCCTTGACTTTGCCACATCCCTTATCCCATATTCAATCCAACACCAATCCCTGTGGGATTTACCTCCTCAGATGCCTTGAATCCATCCACATGTATCCATCTCCAGTGCCACCATGTTGCCTGTGCCTACCTGATATCTCACCCTCATTTCTGTACCTGCCTCCTCCCTGCCACTCTTAACTCTATAGGGATCATTTCATGCACGGCAGCCACCCTGAGCTTTCTGGAATGTAAGTCACATTGTGCCCCTCTCCTGCTCTCAATCCCTCTGGCTGCTTACCACTGTTCATAGAATAAACTCCATACTCTCTGCTTTGGATTGCATGCTCCTACCAATTCTTGGCCCTGATTACTTCTCCAACTTCATTACCTCACATGACCTCCGCCACTCAGCATTGCTCCAGCCCCCCTGCCTACTTCCCATTATTCACACATACCATGGTCTATTTTGTCACAGGGCTCCCTCAATCTGGAAAAATCTCGCCCACTCCATCACTCAGTTAATGCGTCCTGACCGGCAGCGTCACTATTATCAAGAAGCTTTCCCTGACCCTCTGCCTTCTCAACAGGTCCTTGTCTGTTCATTCTTATACTTTCCATTCCTTCATGGCATTCATCTCCTTGGTAATTACACATCTCATTAACAGATTATCTGATTTATCTCTGCCTCCCTTCCCTGCTCAGACTTCAAAGCTCCATCAGAGTGGTGGTCATGGTGGCTTTCCTCCTTCTCGTGCTCTCTCTACAAAGCGCAGGACCTGACCTTATTAGGCACTTAGTAAAGAGCCACTAAATTACTGCCCGAAGAAGAATCCCCTGCCACTTCCACTCAATTCAGATGATCAGCACTCTTATCAATACTGGGTATTGCAGCAGCTGCCAAAGTGGCCTACAGGCTTCAAGACCCTCCTCAACTCTTGCTCAACCATCTCAAGACTGGTCTTGTCCATCACAAATGCAGCCTCGTCGCTCTGCATCCAAGGGTTCTTTGGGGGCCACATGGTAAAGCCTACATGTAATTGGCCCCCTAAACCTTGACCCTATTTAACTCCATGGCCTCAGCTCCCACCACTCCTTACCTCATGCTTAGGTTTGCTCTAACAAAATTAGTTTTAGGTCCAATACAAACTATGCTAGTAGACACTTCTATGCTTTGTCTTATAGTATTCTCTCTGCCCTGCCTCACTCTTTACTTTTATAAATTTGACTCATCCTTCAAAATTCAGCTGAAAAGCCATTTCCTCTTGGAAGCCTTCTAAGACCATTTACTTGCCACCCCTGTGGCTAATTCTGATTCTTTTCCTGGTCCCCCAGACACTATCTATAACTTTATTTATAACTCTATCCTTACTACATAATGTGAAAATGATTCATTTATATCTATAACTCCACTACCACCAGGATGACAACTTCTCAATAGAAGAAATGATGGGTTTTTTTTTTATTTTTAATTATTAGGTTCCAACAATTGGGGCATATACTAGATCATAAATAAGTGCTTATTGCAACGACACGATATACAGACTATTGAACTCAATGACCTCTTGAATCCCCTATGGGATTTACTTGAGGTAGTCTTCATTTTGCCTTTCAAAGAATTCCTTCAGCTACCAGTGGAAAACTAAGCATGATAGTCATCAACCATTCAGTTATTAAATGGGTCTGTGCCTAGTCTAGTCCAGGCACTGGGCTAGGTGTGGGAGATTCAACTCTGAACAAGACAAAGATCTTTTTTGCCTACATCTGGAGAGATAACAGGTAACATATAACCCAAGAGCATAAAAATCATGAAATGTAATACAATTAATTTTCTTAATTAAAGAGTTCTGGGTGGGAAGCAGAAGCCACCCATGCTGAACACATGCCCCAAGAGAGCCATGCCATCAAGAAATTGCTAGGTACCACCCCGTACATTGAAGTCTGACAGAAATTAGTGACAGACATGATGGTCCAAGTCAAAGAAATATTCAGTCTTCAGTTCTTTCCATTTAGATGAGTCAACATAGAAGACAACTGTCTACTGACAAAGGAACAAAAGGCAATGTAGCAAGAACTCCTTGCTGAACGTGTTGAGAAGAAATGATGCTCATCTGGGCACTGAAAGTCTTTGTCCTGGCCCTGTTTCTGTCACTAACCAGCTTTAGAAGCTTCCTAAGTCACCCCTCCTGGGTCTCTATAAAATTAATGGCTTAAGCTAAATTATCTTTAGGGTTCCTTCTACCCCAAAGATTCTGTTTTCAAATCTCCAGGTCATATGTTCAAGCAAACCGGCTGCTCTGGGTTGAGAACCGATGCCCCATGAGCATCAAGTATCCTGGAGCCCAGTCCAGAGACCTTGAACTCTGCATGCCCTGGGCCGGGGAGGCCAAACCTGGAATGACCCAGCAAAGTAGTCACACCAATGACGGCTGAGGGAAATAAGAGTAACAGTAATATCTACCACTAGATGAACACCTATACTTTGCCAGGGACCCCAGTACCCACTTTACATACATGTTCTCATTTAATTTTCATACCAAGAGTGTTGGGTATTCTGTTTTTCCAGATGAGGAAACGAAACTGCTCATGCCTTTTGCCCTCTTCTTTCTACCTCTGATTCTAACAATGGCAAGTCTGAGAGCCTGCAGACCCTCAAGAAAATCAAGATCAAGAATCACTGCTGCCCAAAAAACCAGCCATCTCACGCAAAGCCAAGAGGAAGCCAAGGCGATGGATATGAGCATACTTACCGATATTCACAGTGATGCTGTTTAAAACAGTGTATTGTTTCCCTGTGTGTGTCAGTCGGGCTTGACATGCGTAGGTCCCTCCGTCCTCTGTTGAAACATTGCTCACTGAAAGCTTTGTTTCCCAGGAAATAAACCGTTCTCCTTTAATCTCTTCACAGCCCTAAATACAAAAGTATATATACATACATACATTAATTCAAAGAGTATTTTGGTGTATCAGTTACATTTCTAGTTAGCACCACCCTATGAACCGTGGGGAGATGCAAGAAACATATGTGATCCCCAGGGTAATTTATAATCTAACTGAAGATGATATTTATATCTATAGATATCAATAGGTAGATAGAAAAATAGATAGATAGATAGATAGATAGATATAGATTTGACAAAGAATATGTTATAGGCTACAGTGAGTACTATAAATATTAAGTCTAATGAAAGTTGAAAGGAAAGAGGCTTACATGAGCTAGAAGGCAGACCACACGGAGGAAGATTGCATGGGCCTACAAAGGAGTGTGGTAGGGGGGTGTGAACAGGCAGGAAAGCCCTCCACCCACATGGGCCTATATCTCCCAGTGGACCACCATCTCATGGCACCAAGACCCTATGCCAAGACTGCAAGCCCAGGTGATTAATGACCACTTCCGCTGTGTTCCAGGTCCAAATACACCTCTCCACAGAGGTCCAAAATAATTCTTCAAGAACATTCTGCTTGGAGGCCTGAACAACAGTCAAAGTATGCTGGCTAGGCTTATGGACAGACGTCACGTAGCTTGTTACATCACCCGTGTTTCCACAGCATCAACAAGAACAACCTCATGCCAAACCAACTTGAGGCCTGGTTAGCCTCAGGAATGCCTTTCTCACTTGTCATCCTCAGCAACCACTCCCAGGGCAGACCTCACCATCCACTGGCAGGACACTGTCAGAAGCTCACATTCTCATGCTCCTTCCATCTCATAGACCCACTTCTGAACTCTCTCAAAACTTTTCCCCTCTCTCAAAACATTTCTTTGGTGGGGCGCCTGGGTAGCTCAGTCAGTTAAGTGACTGCCTTCGGCTCAGGTCATGATCCTGGAGTCCTGATCGAGTCCTGCATCGGGCTCCCCGCTCAGCGGGGAGTCTGCTTCTCCCTCTGACCCTCCCCCCGTTCATGTTCTCTCTCTCATTATCTCTCTCTCAAATAAATAAATAAAATCTTAAAAAAAAAAAGTTTCTTTGGAAAGTGCCACTCTACAGAGTTCTTGGGTTATTGAGTCTGCTTATTCATTCAAGCATTCAGGTTTCTGCTCTTTGCTAGGCTGCGAGAGGCCCTGTCATGCAGGAATAGGATGGAGTCCTTGTCCTTAGAAAGCTCACAATCCTAATATAGAAGACAAACTTATAAACCCTAATAAAAATTTAATTGCCCAAGTGTCCAGCTCTCTCATCACTGAGTCAGCTGTAGCTAGCTCAGCATCAGAGCCTGTTCATCACCACTGGAACAGTGTGAATGGATCCACCTTGGAAGAGGAAATGCAATCATGCCAGAATGAGCATTTGTTTACTTACAATGCGAATTTCTAGAAGTCTTACATTATTCCCTATTTGGGAAACCCAATTATAATTGGACAATTGCTTACCAAGTAGAATGGGAATTACTAGTTAAGAGTCAGATGGGTGAAGGCATCAGATTCCAATAATGTGGTGCCACCTTCTTTAGAGTAGGGACAAACAAAAAGTATTGAGTCCTTGACTATGAAAAATTCTCTGGAGAGAGCTTGGAGAGGGGCAATCCCTGGGCCTCCCTTTCTATGTTTCCATCCTTGACCAGTCCCCTTCTGATCAACTCATTCTTTCTTTCAAGATGTACAAATATTTAATCATATTAAAACCCAGCCTTGATAGCTGAAGAACCATTCTGTCCCTTTACGGTAACTAAGACTGCTTCTACTGTGATCCACCAGAGCATCATTTTAGAGTTTAAATTCTCAGAAGGCCTTGATTTTTATTTAAAAATTTGTGGGCGACATCTCATTAAGATTTAAAGTTGAAATATTAATACCAATAGCAGCCAACATTTTAATATATTTTGTCTTTCAAGCACCAAGAAGAACACTTTTGACCCAGCATGTACATTGGTTGGAGACATAAAATAGCCCAGAGCATTCTGGCTAAGGTGCAGGGCCTATAGGAGAGTGATGGAGATAGAACTGGTCAGGCAGCCAGGGGCCCAATCCCAGAAGATCATGAAAAGGGGATGAACATTGAAGCTTTTCCAGCAAGGGAATAACATGATTCCATTTGCCTTTGAGAATGATCTCAGCAAATATAGATTTAGCACAGTGGCAAAGCAGAAATCAATGTATTGGGAAGTAATTTGGAATTGAAAAAAAAAACAAACCTGGAGACATCACTGCATTTCCAAATGTGAATACTTCACTATCTACGAGAATGGATATTTTAATACCTGAACCTTGTCCTCCATAACACCTCAATTTCAAGGACCACCTCTACTCTTCTCCATCTCCAATTCTCCCACCTACAAGCTGGACTTTGTCATGATCCAGAACTGCTATGTCTCTAAATTCCTAAAAACATCTATACCATTCTGATCGTCATTTCTTGATGTTTATTTATCAAGTAATTACTATGCATCCATGCTGAACTAAGGGCCTAATGGATAGATTATTTTATTTACTCTTCAAAACAAATCTAGGGAGCTATGTCCCTCCGACTGGATTTAGTTGCAGAAAACAAAAAGCATTCTGGCTGTTCCAGGTGGAAAAGGATTTAACACAAGGTATTAGGTGCTCACAAAATTTTAAGAAGTACGCAGGGAGTGAGATCTAAGCCAAAACTGAACTGCGGACCTAGCTCGCAGGATACCTGCTACCCTCCACCACAGCACTGAGGTGGGACTCAAGACCTTGAACCACAGTCAGAGACCAGGGGTTGCCACGGTTAGCCAGTGTGTGCGAGGCCATGTCATCTCTAATGAAAGCCACACCAACAACAGCATCAGAAGGCAGATGCACGGCCTCTCAGCTCCCACAGAGCTAGGGTCTGGGCCCGGAACACCGCTGCAGAAAATCCCCACGGCCATGCTGCCTAGCAGAAAAGCAAGAAGAGCTACTGTTCTCACTTAAGCCTTTCAGGGAAGCCAGCTGAAGAAACTGAAGCACATCCAGAACCTCAGCTGCAGACAACTCAGGGAAAGCACAGGGTGTGTTTGGGGTTGCTTTGTTCTTATTTTGTAGCTCTACAGCCGCTCTAGTTTAAAGAAGCTCACCATGGATAGTGAGCGTCTATCCACCATATTCATTATACTTTTCTACCTGAACTTTCTCTCAAACTCATTTTTCTATGTTATCCTGGACATACAGTCCCCTTGCCCCTCTATTTTGTTTTAATGACCACTTTCCTTCAGGCATCACTTCCTTTCCCAACCTGTGGCCATTACTTTACTCACCCCCTTTCAGTTCCTCAATACTGTCGCCCTTTATCCGTCCAGCACATTCAGCCTGCAAAATCCCATCTGTGTCAGTTCCATCATCCTCCTCCTACAAGCCTACAACCCGATGAGCACTATAGGAGAAAATCACATCGACATGCATCTTGGCACCACTACCAATTCATGGTCCTCACCTTAGACATTCTTTGCCTTCGACTCTCTCATTCACCTATTCACTTATGCTGCTCTTTCTAAATGTCCACCTAACATCCCGGAGAAGAGAGGGGCCACCAGGAACGAGTTCCCTCCACTGACTCTCCTCTCCTTCCCCCTCATTCTATCAGTTCTACTTCATACGCTGTCCTACATGGTCCCCACTCATTCACTAAATTTCTGAAATAGCCTCAATGACCCACATGCTACCATTCTCAAGCCCTTCCAATGTATGCACTGCAGTGCCTACAGGAGTTGACTAATACATAAAGAAGCTGAGCATGTCATTATCCTAATCATGTAACTGACATACTTTAAGTGGGGAAAAGGCTACGTGTAGGTGAGCATACACGATCTATTTCCTAGCATCACCTTACTCCACTCTGACATGGACCCCAAACTCTAACCAATGCGCCCAAACACCATTCTCTTTCTCACCTGATACCTTTGAACCTGCTGGGGTTTTTTTTCTAATTACCATCCTCCCTTCTGCCTGCCACGGCTTCACTGCGATTCATTCTTGAAGCAGTGCAACGGTCACCTCTTCCAGGAAGCATTTCCTAGCACAGCTGCAAGCGGATTAACACGAAGCTCTACATCCTGGAAGAATTGATTCCAACTCTCTCATTTGACAGAAGAAAACACTGAAGCCCAAATAGTAACTCAAGGTCTGAGAACTAGATAGTAGCAAAAATAGAGCCATAACTGAGGTCACTGAATCTGAACAGTGGGACAGTTTCAGAAGGATCTCTCCTCGTTATATGGCTTGGCTCCTAACCTCCTGTCTTCTCAAGCTGAGCAGTTATTTTATTTTTTTAAAAGAATTATTTATTGGGACGCCTGGGTGGCTCAGCCAGTTAAGCGTCTGCCTTCGGCTCAAGTCATGATCCCAGGGTCCTGGGATCGAGGTCCATGTTGGACTCCCTGCTCAGCAAAGAGCCTGCTTCTCCCTCTGCCTGCCGCTCCCCCTGCTTGTGCTCTTTCTCTCTCTCTCTGATAAATAAACAACTAAAATATTTTTAAAAAAATAATTATTTATTTATTTGAGGGGGGAGGGGCAGAGGGAGAGGGAGAGAGAGAATCTCAAACAGACTCCCCGCTGAATGCAGAGCCCGACATGGGGCTCGATCCCATGACCCTGAGATCATGACCTGAGCTGAAATTAAGAGTCAGACACTCAATCGACTGAGCCACCCAGGCGTCCCTGAGCATTATTTTAAAAATAAAAATGCCTGAACCCCACCCATGGATAATCTGATTCAGTGAGTAGAGGCAGAGTCCAAGCAAGTGCTTTAAAAAAAAAAAAAAAATCCATCGCTCTTAATGCTGAGTAGTAACAAAGTTGATTGTAAACATCTACCTTTCTACAGATGTCAAGTGCTTTTCGATCTATGACCACAACAGGTCCAGGCCAGGAGGAAAAGATTTCCGGAAGAGTCCTACTGTCAAGAGGGTCCTAATGCTGGTCCCATGAGATAATGGTTGCAAGGCCGCAAGCTGGGAGACAGGATGCTTGAGGAAGAGTCTACAGAAGCCACGGAGAGGAACTGAGACTCACCATATCCTGAGAAGGCCAAAGCAGGACTTGGAAAATGGGTAATGCCACAGTCAGAGCCAACTGAGGCTGAGGGGACTGTGGCCTGGCAACCAATACCCTCTGAACGGAACAGGAATACTGTGAGGGGTTTTTTTTTTTCAAGTAGGCTCCACGCCCAACGGGGGGCTTGAACTCACAACCCTGAGATCAAAAGTCACATGCTCCACCGACTGAGCCAGCCAGGCGCCCCCTGGAACAGGATTATTGTTAATAATTAAACTGTAGCCAGATCCAATGTTAATAAGAGGATAATGAGAGAGAGTATGCAGAGCATTTATTATACATCCTGACACACATTAAATGAATACCTGTGTAATTTTTCCATTAGCCCAATAGTTGATACAAAAAGTGAAAAATACTGGAGGTAGGAAGAACTCGGAAGCCATCCACCTATTCAGCAGAAACTTTCTGAACTAAGGCTAATACCTAAGGGCCAGGTATTAGCCTTGCAAGTGGAGACAGCAGGGGTGGTAGCTTTAAATTCGATCAAGATGAACTTTTCATGAATGGAACAGTCGATGTTTAGAACTATCACCAATTACTCTGAAGGTGATGGCTGACAAACTGATACGACAGTGCTTCTGACAGATCTATGCGTGTAGGGGACAAAAGCTAGAGTCAGGACTTGACAATGAGGAGCATCCCGGCCAAACTCTCTAGTTGTCATCGGGGCTGTGACCAAGCCATGTGGTTTGGTTGAACCACTAAAAGCAGGGCCCTAAAGAATGACTGAACCAATCCTCACTTCAAAGAATGATTCTCACAAGTTTACAGCTGAGCCAACCAAGCCAGACACAAAATGCTACATATAGTAGGACTCAATTTCAATGAAGTTCATAAGCTGGCAAAACTAATCTATGCTATTATAAGTCAGGGGATTCGGGAGGCATAGGTTTTGGAAGATGGCAGAAGTGAACCTTCTGAGGTGCTAGTAGTATTTTTGTTCTTGACCTTGATAGATGGAAGGGGTAGCCAAAAGTTGTATTCACTTTCTGATGATCCATCAAGCTTGTCCAATTATGCTTCATGCATTTTCTATACATATACTATACTTCAATGAAAACTGTTCCTGCATTCCAAACATTGGTACCCAGGATATAGAAATTCACAAGTTCAGAAGAGGATTCAAAAACAGTCAATAAACGTATGAAAAAGTTGGTCAACCTCACTAATAATTAAGGAAAAGCAAACTAAAACAAAAATAAGGTAGCAGTTGTACCCATCAAACTAATTTTAAAAATATAAGTCTCATAATACAAAGTCCCACTTAAAGTTTTAGGGACCCCAGAATATTGCACAGAAGAGTATAAACTAATATAAAATTTTGTAGAGTAACTTGGCAGCATCAATAAAATTGAATACTTTATTCATATACATACTCTACAATCTAATGGTTATAAGGCTAATCAGCATGTATCCTAAAAAAACTCACACACTGGCAAATGTGCATTAAAAGACAGGGATAAGGGGCACCTGGGTGGCTCAGTCGGTTAAGTGGCCGACTGTTTCGGCTTAGGTCATGATCTCAGGGTCCTGGGATCGAGCCCTAGTTGGGCTCTGTGCTCAGCATGGAGTCTGTTTGAGGATTCTTTCTCTCTCCCTCTGCCCCGCCCTCCATGCATGCGCAGGCACACACTCTCTCTCTCAAATAAATCTTAAAAAAAAAAAAAGACATGGATAAGGATATTCATTGCCACGGTCCTTGTGAGACAGGAAAGTGGAAACAAAGTAAATGAACACGAAGCATATAATAGAAAGGATGAACAAGGCCAAAATTTGATTCTTTGAAAAAAAAAATAATAGAACTAACAACTCTCTTATGAGACTAATCAAGTGAGGAGTGAGAGAGAAATACATCGTAACAGGGATTAAAAGAAGAACCTTATTTCAGAAGCAGACATGAAAAGAGCAAAGATGACAAACAGTTACATGCCAGAGTATCTGGAATATTTAATAAAAAGAGTGATTTCCTACAAAAAAAGGAATCTTACCAAACCTCCTTCAGGAAGAAATGAGAAATTGGCATAAGGCTATCTCCATTAAAGAAACTGAATCGGCAGATAAAAAGCTTTCCCCGGAGAAAACTCACCGCCCAGATGGTTGTATTGGCAAGTGCTGACAAGCAGAGAGTTACAGGAAAACTAATCCAATCTTAAGAATCCTGTGCTCCCCTGTGCCTTGGATTATGTCTTAAATATTATCATCTGCCAGGACAGCCAAGAAAAGAGAGTGTTGGAGGGTGAACACACAAGCTGCAGAAAGGTGAGTTTAGGATTCCCCGTTTGCATAAAAATGGAAGGACAAGGGTATAGTTTCATTTGCTTGTATAGCATTATACAAAAATAATGCAGAGAAAGCAAGCACCTAGTCATGGCAGCCACAGGTTAGGAAAGGTGTGATGGGCCCAGGGCAAAGAGAGCTCAGGAGTGGGGAGGGCACTTGCCAGGGATGACTTTTTATACTTTGGGATTATTGAATCATGGGCATAAGTAGTACACATTCAAACAAATTAATTAATCTCTTCAGAAAAAAAAAAAGAATAACCAAGGAGAGTCTGAAAACTGTAACTGTGGGGAGATGGTGAACACAAGTAACAAAATATTACAAGGCTGTAATAACCATTAATTTTAAAAACAATAATTAGCAGGGTAAAATTATCAGTAGCAATAGGCTAACAAATCTGTCTCAGGTACACAAATCTCTTTACCAATTCTGCCTTAAAAGATCCAACTTGAACCAAAAAGCAAGTAAATTTTAAAGAAGAAGAAAAATAGCAATAGGAAAATCATTTTGTGTTTTACCTTATACCACTTTAGGGAATCCAAAACACAACTCTGTGGGAAGTTCAGATGACAGGTAAGGCTGTCGTCCCTTCCAGCATGTAATATTTGTCTGTATTCATCCGATAAAATCAGCTGGCCATTTCCAGAAACACCACACCAGTATTTTCTTAATACAGTGAGGTTTACGGGGATTCTGTGACAGGTGTTTGTGCTGCTGTAAGAAAATGACAAATTGAAACCTCAAAAACTCAAACAACCACAAATCAAATGAAGCTGTGCATCTTCCAATCTTGCCAAATCATCAAGATACCGTGCAAATGCCCTACCTCAGCCAAGGCAGGATGCGTCTCAGAAATCATTAATTACAAAAGAAAAGAAAATAGTTCTATTGTGGAAATGCAGGACCACACCATGGCCAAGGGATCAGGCTGAACAGCACCAGTGAGGGGCAAATGGACACCGTGAGCCTCGGGGTGTGTTGTCCGAAGAGGACACAAACGATTTAACGTGGTACTCCAGCCGAGAAGGTTCAACCTCAACCTACGCGTGAAGAAATATCTGGCAAACCCAAATTAAGGGCTAGTATATAAAATAATCGCCTGTACTCCTTAAAAATGTCAATGTCGTGAAGAACAGATGGAGGAACTATTCCAGATGAAAAGAGACTGAAAAGACATGACAGCCAAGTGCAATTCATGAGGCCAGATTGGACCCTCTCCCGGAAAGGAAAGAAAAAAATTATAAAGAAAAATCGAGACAATTGACAAAATTAGCGTATGAATGGGGAATTAGATAAAAATATTGCATGATGGGTAGGATAACTATACTGTGATTATGTACAAGAATATTCTTGTTGATAGCAAATAGCACATTGAATTACTCCAGGCTAAGGATGCATACAACTCAAAATTTGGAGAAATCCCCAAAAACTATTTTGGAAAAAATGGTTTAGAAAAAACTATTGCATGTAAATATACATATAGAGTTGACCCTTGACCAACTCAGTCGTTAGGGGCATCACCGGATCCCTTGCGCTGTTGAAGATCCGCATAGAACTTTTGACTCCCCTGAAACTGAACTCCTAATAGCCCACCATTGACCGGAAGCCTTACTGATTACATAAACAGTGGATTAACACATATTCTGTATGTTATGTGTATTATATACTGTATTCTTAAATAAAGTAAGCTAGAGGAAGAAAATGTTAAAACCATAAGGAAGAGAAAATACATTTATAGTAATGTACTGTATTTATCAAAAAATATCTGTGTATAAATGGCCCTGTGAACCTCAAACCCATGTTGTTCAAGGGTCAGTTGCATATGGAGAGAGAGAGAGAATTATAAGGTAAATGTGGCAAAACGTTAAATAAGAGGAATCTAGATAAAAGGTAGATGGGACTTTTTTATACTATTCTTGCGAATTTTGTGTGAATTTGAAATTACTTCAAAGTAAAAATACACAATTTACTAGGTATGTATCACCTCTGTATGTTAAAGATTTGTGAGAATTCACATTTATTTCATGACAGATAGCATCTATGTCTACCTTCTATGAAAGGTTATCTTTCCCTGTTTACAGCTCCCAGATTTAAGTATTTCAAATCCAGCCTAGACATCCGGATGGAATTTGTGTGCCGTACAATCTCCCCCCTCTTACTTCATAACCTAGAGTCACACAAGACAGCAGACCACCACAAGACGTCAGCACCTGGGAAGGAGTCAGGAAATAGGGGCTCATGACCTCTCCCATTTCTGTAACACTGACAGGCAGAGGCAAAGACCACAGAGACAAAGCAGCAGAGGGAGAGCACAACCACCCTCCTGGAGTACCTATCTCACACATCATCTCCACTAATTTTCCCTTCAACTCTATCAGGCTGACATTTTACAGATAGGAATATCAAGATTCCAATTTATTGAATAATTTGTTAAGGACGAGCACATCAGTAAGGGAGGGTAACAAAATTGAGGGCCTTAGGCAAAATTTATCCACGAATGTGTTTTATTTAAGCTACACACACAAAGCTTATTGAAAAGTTACACACACACACACACACACACACACACACACAAACGCAATTTCCAGGTTCCCTTGAAAAACTGGAAAATGGACTTGAGCTGAATAGACCACTGCCTTTGGTGGGACAAATGCTTTCTGGCTCACCGCAGCCCCCACCAGGCTCAACTGTCTCCCACCAGATCTGTGCCACTCACCTACACTATTTCCTAGCACAGGGCTCATCATGGAGCCTGGAACATAGCTGATGCTGAGTCACTCAAGTTCCTATCACAGAGCCCTTACAAAAAGGTGCTCAAAGGAGGTTTATTCCTATCTGGTTGTGCCGCCTGTCACACACACTTCCCAAATTCCAAGAAAGAAGGTAGCAATAATATTGGGAGAAACAGGTTTTTAAGCTGGCCTGGCTTGTGGCCTCATTCCAATGGGAAAAGATGCATCTCATGTTCCAACGACTGCTTTATAAGTCTGTTCTGTTTTAAAATATGTTCACTGGAAACCATCTGGTAACAATTATAAAACTGTATTTTACTACGTTTATTAAGAGTTTATTAAGAATTTTCCTAGAAGAATTGTATATGTATATAACTGTAACATTATATATTTTTACATATATATATATATATATATATATATATGACAGACAGAGAGAGAGAGTTCTATTTTAAATGAGAAACTTACTTTATAACACATTGGTAGATCCCAGAGTCCTCCTGTGTCAGGGGGAGAAACAAAATCCAGTTTTGCTCCTGGTGAATTCTAGACTGTGTGTTTTTGGATATTGGGATTTTGTTAGGATATTTATACCATGTCACACGTACTTTCCCAGATGTTAGTGGCGGGTGCGTACAGTTAAAAGCAAAAGGCTGGCCTGCTGAAGGTGCCTCGTTTTGCATACTAACATCCTTGCATGCATCTAGGGAAAGAAAGGGGGGAAATCATGAAAGAGAACTCTAGCGTTACTGATTATTAGTTTTAACAAATGCCTCTTTAATTTTCTATCCAACTTAAAATTTTACTGGAGAGTTTTCTCAGTGTGGGAGTTCCCTAAAATAGTCTGCTGATTTGAAAGCATAACTGGAAGTCCTTCAAATGTGTTCATAAAACACACTGACTCATCCTCCCCATTTGGAATGGTTTCTCTCTGTCCGTTCTTTTCTAAGACCCTGAATCCCTTCATCCTCCTCCTTCAGAGTAAACGTTCCTATTCCAAGCCCTCCTTGTCCCATTGCTTTCTGCTCTGCCACCCAGCTATTTCACTCTGTCTTCACTAAAAGGTGTAAGTATACCATCCCAAAAAGGACTGTTGAAAAAAATCTGCTCATTTTAAAGTTCGTTTCTACTGAATTGCTTTGAAGAAACTGTTTCTTCTTAGAAGAAATCTGCTGTGTTGATGGTTTCTGTGTTTTTACCCTGGGTCATAAAATGACCCTCTGTCATATAAAATAGTATTATATCCATTTGAGCATTTTGACTCAAGACTTCCAAATTTGCCTATTCCCCCACCCCCATCCCCACCAAAGTCATCTCAAAACTCAAACGTGACACTGGGGCTGAGCATCAGATGTTGGGAACTGAAACTTGCTGTTTCCGCATTCGGACGGAATTCTGCCTGGTCCCCTAGGGTAAGTGTAACCACAAGGCTCGGGTGTCATGCGATCCCCCAGGGGTCTGCACAGGGGCTCTCGCAGAGCCGCAGGGAGGCAGGTAGGAGAGGGTGGCCTCCGAGGCAGCCGAACATACCTGCTCTGACAAAGGGTGGAAGCGCGAGGGACACTCCGCAGAGCACCAAGGCCAGCATCCCCCTGTTGGGCTACCAGGAAGAGAGAAGGTGGGAGGGGATGGGGCACAGCGGCGACAATGAATCTCAGAGATCCTAACCCAGGCCCCTGGCCTTCCCTTTCTTCGTGGGGAGCCCTCCAACTCTGGCCCCACATTAGCCCGAAGTGCCCCCAAAGACTCCCGCCTCCCCGCCCGAACCTCCTGAATCCCGGCTGGAAGAGGGATCAGCGGGAGGGGTTGGGAGGTCCGGGACCCGGGGACAGAAAGTCATGGTAGGGTGGCAGCAGGAGGGAGGCCCCCAGCCCCCGGGATGCGCCGTCGCCCCTGTCTGGCAGCGAGGCAGGGTCTGCGTCCTGCGCCCGGTGGGAGACACGCCACCCACCCCGGATCCCCACCTGCGCGTCGTCGCGCGTAGCCTCCCCTGCGCGTCCTTAGCCTCGGGGTCCCCCTGGGCCCGGCGGTCCAAACGGAGCCCCACCACCGGCTCACCTGGGAGAAGCCCTCTTAGGCCGACCTGGCAAAGGCCGGCAGGAAAGAGAGAGGAAGCCGGAGCGCCGCCGGACCGGCAGGTATAGACGGGAGCTGCACGCCTTCGCCCAGAGACGGAAACCGCTCCCCCAAGGTCGCCCAGCCGGCCCGGGGGTGCCCCGGCGTCCCGATCTCCAGCCTCCGGGTCGGTCGCGCACATGTTTGCCAGCCACCTCTTTCCCTCCACACCTTTCCGGGGGTCGGGGTCCCACCCGCTTGGCTCAGCCGCACACTCCCAACCGGCGCCTACCTGCCCGACGGGACTGGAGCGCGCAGGATCTTGGAAAGTGGAGAATCCAGCGCACAGGCACCGAACCCAGGTGAGGCGTTTCCATACCACGCTACTTCCTTGCCACCGTGGGCAGGGCAGGCCTACCTTCCCCCAGGGGTTGCGTAGGAAGGAACGGTGGCATCACACTAAGAAGTGGGTTTAAAGGCGTGTTACCTGATTTTCTGGCAGCTAACACGCCTTTCATGGGCAGTCATGTCTGCTTAAATCTATTCCGAATTATCCCCGTAAACGAATTCTTTCCTTTCCAAACCTCATCTGAGCAGTGATTACATGCCCTTCTTGGCCTATGTAGAATGCCCCCAAGTGGCTTCCAAGGAATAGCCTTTATCTGCCTGAGTCGTGCTGTCAACTTCTGTAGAGCAGACATCCCAGTGTGATCCTGAACTACCTGGAGCACGAAGTCTGGTCCTGTCTGATTTTCCAAATAAGATGATATCAAACAGGACTGTTGCGCTAGCCCTCAGGAAACACCCCCAGAGAGATCCCCCTGAGGGGCGCTGGGACTTAGAAAATATATATAAAATGTCATCTCCATCCAGCAGATTCCCAGCCAAGCTCTATCTGGTGGTCTTTGTGGTTTTAGAGACAGTGGGGGGGGGGGGGCAACCAGAGGAACAGGCCAGGAGTTCAGTATCTGCATTGCCAGCAGCGCTTTCTGTGACGGCCGAGGCCAGTGGATTGTTTGCACATTTCTTCAGTCTTAAACATTATTGAGGATTCCAAAGTGCTTGTTTATGTGGGTTATGTCTGTCAATAGTTACTATATTAGAAATTAAAATGGAGAGCATGTAAAACATTTATGTTCTTATTTATTTTAAATAACAACAATAAACTTAACATAAATGTTAGCATAAATAGCGTACATCTTATGAAAAATAACTGAACTTTCCAAAACAAACAAAATTATTGAGAAAAGTTATATTGTTCTACGTACTACCACATACCCCTACTTAGTGTTTGCAAATCTCTTTGGTGTGTGACCTAATAAAAGACAATTGGATTCCCATACCTTCTTCTCTATCAAATCTCTTAGGATGTAACATGCTGGGCAGCCTCTGAAAAAGTCCGCTATACTCAGCGGATAGAATGAGAATTTAAAAGATAAATAAGGTCTGAGTATTATTGTGAAATCAAAACGATTTCACAGATCTTGGGGACCCTTAGGGCTCTCACACTTTGAGGACCCTTTGCTAAGCTATAAATGGAGATCTTTATTACTTTTCCCTAACATCAGCATTAAATGAGGTTCCTCTGTACATACACATTTTGCAAGCCTCAGCCCCACCCAAAACAAAACAAAGGTGTTATTATGAAAACCATCAGGTGACTCACATACAGAACTACTATAAGCAGTGTTAAAAGTTATTTCCAAATTTTTCTTAATTTTCGTTGTCTGTTTCAGGTTTCTACCTTATGAACAAATTTGGACCGTATCTTATTTTTTTATCGTTTGAATATAGGTGTGAGGGCCAAGTCCAATCAGTATAGTTGCCCCAAAGCTTATGAAGTTTCAACGAGCCACCCCAGCCTCCCGGCAGCACCTCCTGTGGGACATTTCTGGTATTTCCTTTTACTGGTGAGGCTCTGGACCGGAAACTTAAGACTTTGAAGGATGTTTTCTATGCCAAGTGTGTTTCCTGATACAGGGAGAGCAAACCACATGGCTTTGAAGGCAGAACTGATGGGGGGCAGAGGTGGGGCGGGATTATAAACTTCATAATTAAAAACAACAGAAAACCAAAACATTATTGCAGGCTCTCAATTACCTTAAAAATTTGGAGAAACCTGATAACATTGTTTGCTAATGAGAAAAGGGGAGGAAGAAATTAAAACAATTTATTTATGGAGCTTCGAGGCTTGCTTTGTTATAGTCATGAGAAAATTGCTGTTTTATGCAGGAACTTCCTGAATTCAATCACTTTATTCTTCTTCTCTGATTTTCACATTTAAAATTTTCCTTTTAAATGTGCATCATGCAATAGTTAACAGCTAAGTAATTCAAAACAAGTCATAAGTCATGGGAGCAAGACCCAGCCTCAGAAATCACAATGACCAAGTTTCCTGTATATGTGTTTCTCCCACCACCCAAACTCATTATCCTCTTTAGTGCTTACCTTTCTGATCAGTGTGTGTGTGTGTGTGTGTGTGTCCCTTAAGCAATATAAAATATGATATGCAAATATTTTGAGAAGTGTAGTTCTAGTTCATGCAAGGCCACTACTGTATGGATATTCCATTGTATTAATGTACTGCAACTTATGTATCCATCTCCTTTGGACATTGTTTCAAATTTATATTTGCTCTTAAAAATAATGTTGTGGTTGGGCGCCTGGGTGGCTCAGTCAGTTAAGCGTCAGACTCTTGACTTTGGCTTAGGTCATATCTCAGGGTTGGGAGACAGGCTCCACACTGGGCATGGAGCCTGTTTAAGATTCCTTCTTCCTTTCCCTGCACCCCACTTCCTCTAAAAAAAAAATAGTGCTGCAGTAAAGATTTTTGTAATGTTCTCTTGTGTGGATTTTTGAGAGGTTATCTAGGGAGTAAAATTGCAGCATCTTTGGGTAGGTGTATCTTTGACTATATTAGAAAAATCCCTCATTTTCTCCACATTAGCATCTTTTAGAGGATAAGAGTTTCATCCTTTCATGTTCTTGTCAATATTTGGTAATGTCAGACAGACTTTTCCATGTTGCCAGTTTCGCCAGCCCAGTGATGCAGAAAGCTATCTTGTGATCTTGTGATTTTACTTTACATTTCTCTAATTACTGGTAAGATGGGACATCTTTGCCTATGTTCATTAGCCATGTGTGTGTGTTTCTGTGATATTTCCTTTTGTGTATTGCCCTTTTACCCACCTGGTTGTTTATCTTCATCTTGTCCATTTGCAGAGAGCTCATTAAGTCCTACCTCTGATGTCTCCTGTAGTTGCCTTCAAAGGGAGGCACAGATGTATCTCGCTGCCCTGTCCCTGCCTGGGAATTCAAACACCAGCGGTGCCCCTGATCTATAGAATAGGGATGATTAGACCCACTCTGCAGAGATGACGTTTGTAAAAACCTCCTTGCTGAGTTCCTGACAGCAACAGATGTTTGATGAGCATGCAGTTTATCCTCATCCTCCCACTGACTCCTCCTCCTCACAGTCTTTCCCAACTGCAGACATTTTTGCAATGGGAACATTCTGGGAAGTTTATGCCATTAGGCACAAGCCTTGGGTAATGGACTCTTTCCAATTGTTTTGTTTTGCTGTTTTGTTTTGTTTGTTTGTTTTATGAAGTGAAAGAATCCCTCCACAGATTCATTGCCTCATCCTACAAGTAGGGGTAAAGCAACAATCTGTGGATGATGGAGGCATTGCTGAGTTCAGCTTGGTTGAATTTTACCTTCAATCCTCAGACAATGATGTGATGCAGCTACCTAAGAGTAGCAGGGCAATGATTTTTATTAAAGATCTCATATATGAATGCACACTTTATATAATGTGCAGTGGCTTTTCTGTGTTCTAGTTAAATATCTGATAGTTTCCCACTGAATGGAACCTGCATGTAAAGTTTCTCAGTGAAAATGAAGCAGAAATATGTTCACGTGTAATGGACAAATGCTCTGAAACCCAGGTTCGGCTGGAGTGAGGGGGTGGAGGTTCTGCCCAGATCTTTATATCTTTAAGGTTCTTACATTCTCACATTTGTCCTCTCTGGGAGACTTGAAATCTACACGAGCAATGCTGTGGCAGGCTTTTGTTGCTGGGATGACGTGAACTTCCAGAGACGGAAGAAGCAGCAGGGAGACAGCCTTTGGTTTCCTGAGGTCCCGTGCCTGCCCTCTCCCCCAAGCCCCATGATCAGCTGTTTCGCTCACTTGCTGAGTATTCACACCACCCCCACTGTGCACCGGAAGACATCCTGAGTGCTGGAAACAGCTGTAGAGAAGACGACAGATCCTCTCAGAGCTTACAGTCCAGTGGCTGGTGTGTGGAGTGGGGGGACAATAGGTATGGGAGAATCACTGAGTAAGAGATGGTTTCAAGCTGGTGAGAACCAGAGAGGATATGAAATATGATGAAATGACAGAACGTTGGGAAAGGCTTCACTAAGGAAGGGACCCCGTAGCTGAGACCCGAGTGATGACAAGTAGCCCACCCAGGTAGCTATGGGGGGAGAGACTTCTCCTTCTAGTAGGGACAGCTAGTATAAAATCTCT